GGGTCAGCCCCGGGTGGGGCGGCCAGCCGGGTTTCCCCCCCCCTGCCACGGCCACAAGGGTTCTGCCAGGAGTGGAGTCATTCCTCACTGCCTGGGGCAGGGGATGGCGGGGGGGGGGGCAGGGGATGACAACAAACATGGAAACTGATGCTCTTTTTTTTGCAATAGCTTGTGCTGGAAGTGGGGAAGAGACTTTTTTGGTTTGGTGGTTTTTTTTCCCCCCCCTTCCCTGTACCTTTCCAAAACATGGGTGTGACAAGTGACGTGGTTTGGTGGTTCAAGGTGTTTGTTGTATGGGTGGCACTGTGTCCCCGGTGGGATCATGACTTCCTCATCGTGGCATCCATCAGCACCCCAGGGGATGCCCAGGCGTAGACCCACCCCTGCCACCATTCTGTGCCAGGGACAACCAAGCCCCAGTTTTGGGCCTTTCCCCCTTTGGTGTTGCCCTTCCACCCAACCCAGAGGCGGCCTCCTCCCTGCTGCTGGTGAGCCCGAGTTTTTGCCAAGCTCAAGCAGCCCTGGGAGTGGGCAGGGGCACCTCAGCTTCGCAGCTATGCGAGCACAATCCCTGCGCCATTAATAAACGCAGCAGGGCCACGGCATCGTTCCGGCTTTGCTAACGAAAACTGCGGCGAGGTGCAGCCCCCCCAGCATGGGGAGAGGCGGCTTCGTGATGGCAACACCCCCCCAGTGACCAGGTAAAGTGAGGCCTGCAAAAACCCCCCACCCTGCACCCCAAAATCCACCCGTCCATCCCTTCTCCCCCCCACCCACCAGGAGCTGCTCAATGCCAGAGGCTGGGAAATGGGGTGGCCATGGGGGAATCCCTACCCAACCTCAGCTCGGCTGTGACCAACGCAAGGCCCTCAAAAGAAAGCAATGGATAGCAAGCTCAGGCTCTTGTTATCTGCATATATTTCTTTTTGTTGTTGCTTTTTTGTGTGTTGTTGGATGGTTTTTTTCACAGAACACTTTGCAGTAGAGGCAAAGGTGGTGTTTCACCCCAGCACAGTCGGACCCCACCGGTGGCACCAGCCCCACTGGCGGCACGCTGCTCCCATCCCTCCTCGCGCCCGTCAGGTTTCACCACTTTTATTCATTGCTGAGTTTTTAGAGTTTTTTCTTTCTCCCTTTATTATTTTTCTTTTTTTTTTTTTTTCCTTTTTAAACATTTCTCAAGCTTTCTCTGAAGGAATGGCCACTGGCTCTCAGCCAGCAGAAGGAGACTATAGAAGAGCTCTGGGACACGTAGGATGGCTTCCTTCTCCCGCCTCGCAGGTGACTTGGTCGAGAGAGGTTTTTTTTTTCCAACTCCTTTTTTTTTTTTTATTAAAAAAATAAAAAAATGCTCTAGCGAGCAGTTTTACAAGGCATACAAAATCTCTAAAAGGGAAACACAAGCGCAAGGTGCTGAGGTACAAAAACCTGAGGTAGTTCTTTGTGTGTGTGTGTGTCATGGGTTTTTTTTTTATTTAAATTTAAAAATTTTGCTAGGTTTTGGGCCGACAACCTCTTGTAAATATGGGCTTGGGGTTTTTCCCCCCGCCCTTTTCCCCTCCTCTCCCTGCAATGGGAATTTTTCCCCCAAGCGCTGCTGTGCGGCTCTGGGGCAGCACTGGGGAGGGAGGGGACAGACGGACAGTGGGCAAGGGGGGGACAGAACGGGTGCAAACCCCAGCTTGGGACTCTGTGAAGCAAAGAGGAAAGGGAGTGTGAAAGAGATTCCTCTTACTGGAGACGGTATCCCTCCTGTTGGCTCATCCAGGCACTGCTCTTCTCAAAGCCCTTAAAAAGGGATTTCTGAACTCATTTCTATTTTTTTCCCCTGCTGGCAATCCTACATCTCTGCTCTACTGTGCATTAGAGAACCAATGGACTAGCGCCGTTCCTTAAAACTCTAGAAAAGCCTGCTTTTGCTAAAAACAAACATCCACCCTCCCCGCTGCCCCCTCTGAAATTAAAAAAGAATTAAAAAAAAAAAAAAAAAGAATCCTTACAAAACTTAAAAACTCGGCGTTAGTTTCGTTATTGATATATTAATTCTAAAAAAAAAAAAATTAAAAATTGATGAGCACTGCGCTGGGTGCTGCAGCCCCCGCCC